TATCTAGGAAGCAGGAGTGGGGTGCAGATGGGCCTGTGGGGCACCCACATCATGTCCAGAAATGGCCGGGAAGTGGCGTTGGGGTGCAGACTAGCTTGCAGGAAGAGGATGCACACAGTTTGTGGCGTCACTGTGTCGTTGCCACAGACATCCTGGGCGCTGAGATAGGGGACGTGATGGGAATGGTTACTTTGGGATTCTACAAAAAGTCTCTGGTCGCTGTCGGGAGAGCCAACAGGCAGACAGAAGCTCTGTGTCAGGACCGTGAAAGGGTCGCGCAGGAAGCAGCCTCTCCCACCCGAGAGAGCCCTGCCCTCACTGGCCTGTGGGGAGCTGAAGCAAAGAGAGATCTGTTGCAGAAACTGGGCCCCATACTCGGGCTGGAAAAATTGTACGTCAGGGAAAAGAGCTAATGCTCAGCAAGGAGGAGCTGGGTAAACGACCCATGTCGCTTCTGGCTTCTCTGCTGCAGCTGCTCAGACTACATCCTCTGCCGCCTGGGCCTCCTTCAGCCTCCAGCTCAGGCACTTCTGGGCCAGGACGCTTCCTGCGGAGCCTCCCCTCCCGCCTGCCCAGCGAGGGCGTGGCTGCCCCTCCTTGTGCCGGCTCCTTACCCTCGCATCCGTGTCACCAACCAGCCACATCACTCTGCACTGTCCATTGTTTGAGACTGGTAGTGCAATGGTTAAGCGCTCAGCTGCTAATTGAAAGGTTGGCGGTTTGAACCCACCAGCTGCTCCTCAGGAGAAGAGACCTGGCAATCTACTCCCATAAAGATCACAGCCTGGGAAACCTTGTGGAGCAATTCTGCTCTGTCACATGGGGTCACCAGGAGTTGGAATCCACTTGATGGCACCCACCAGCATTCAGTGACATTAGTTACGTTCACCGTGTTGAAAGTAAGGAACCCTGGTGGTGCAGTGGTTAAATGCTTGGTTGCTAACCAAAAGGTTGGTGGTTTGAATCCACCCAGTGGCTCCATGGGAGAAAAGACCTGGCAATCTGCTCCAGTAAAGATTGCAGCCTAGAAAATCCTATGGGACAGTTCTGCTCTGTCACATGGGGTCATTATGAGTTGGAATCGACTCGATGGACTTGCTGAGGGCAGAGGATCACTGTCCCCACCTTGTGCCTGGCCTGGCACAGTGCAGGTGCCCAGGGAGTGCCTAGAGCCAGGCTCCCCAGGATGCCTTACAGGACCCACAGGCCTGGAAATGCCCTTGCCTCTCCAGCCAGGCGAAGCTGCATCCTTACCCCCAACTGATCAACCCAGCGAGGGTGCTGCTGGTGCTCAGTGCCTCCTGCCCCGTCCCTCCCCACTACCCGGCACGTGCTTGGGAAAAAGACCAGCTGTCTACTCACTGAGCATGACCAGACAACTCGGGTGTCAAAAATACGCATGATTCCGAACCAAAAGATAAACAGCTTACATTACATAGCACTTCTCCTCTCCAGGAATTGAAAAATATTGGAGATCTGTGTGTTCAGACAGAACAAGGAAAGGTGTGTGTCCAGGTTGTATCCTTTCACCATACTTAACTCTGTCTGCTGAGCAAGTAATCCAAGAAGCTGGACTCTATGAAGAAGAACAGGGCATCAGGATTGGAGGAAGACTCATTAAGAACCTGCAGTATGCAGACGACACAACCTTGCTTGCTGAAAGCATAGAGGACTTGAAGCACTTACTGATGAAGATCAAAGACCACAGCCTTCAGTATGGATTACACCTCAACATAAAACAAAAATCCTTACAGCTGGACCAATAAGCAACATTATGAGAAATGGAGAAGAGATTTGAAGTTGTCAAGGATTTCATTTTACTTGGATCCACAGTCAACACCCTTGGAAGCAGCAGTCAAGAAATCAAAAGACGCATTGCATTGGGCAAATCTGCTGCAGAAGACCTTTTTGAAAGTATTGCACAGCAAAGGTGTCACTTTGAGGACTGAGGTGCGCCTCATCCAAGCCGTGATATTTTTAGTCAGTCACCTCATATGCATACGAAAGCCGGACAGTGAATAAGGGAGACCAAAGAAGAATTGATGCCTTTGAATTATGGTGTTGGCGAAGAATATTGAATATACCATGGACTGCCAGAAGAATGAACAAATCTGTTTGGGAAGAAGAACAGCCAGAATGCTTCTTAGAAGCAAGGATGGCAAGACTTCATCTCACATACTTTGTACATGTTGTCAGAAGGGACCAGTCCCTGAAGAAGGACATCATGCGGGGTAAAGTAGAGGGTCAGCGAAAAAGAGGAAGACCTTCAGGGAGATGGATTGGACACAGCGGCTGCAGCAGTGGGCTCAAGTATAACAATTGTGAGGATGGTGCAGGCCTGGGCAGTGTTTCGTTCTGTTGAACGTAGAGTCGGCTGTGAGTCGGAACCTACTCAGTGGCAGTTAGCAACAGCAGTGTGTTAAGAATGAGCCCTGGTTGCACAGTGGTTAAGCACTCAGCCACTAACTGAAAGGTTGTTGGTTTGAACCCACCCAGTGGTCCCACAGGAGAAAGACCTAGTGATCTGCTTCTGTAAGGACTGCAGCCTAGGAAACCCTATGGGGCTGTTCTGCTCTGTCACGTGGGGTCCAGTGAGTTGGAATCGACTCGGCGGCACACACCATGTGTTGTTAGAGACTTCAGGGATGGAACAGCGGGGCTGGCAAGCACATGCTTGTGTGTGGAGCGTGGACCGGGGGGAAGGGGAGGTTGGGCATCTCATGGACGCTGTCGTCAGAGCACGCGCGCCCGTGGTCCGGAGTGAGAGGTGGTGTGGCCGTGGTGCGGGCCCCCGTCCTCCTCTCGGCAGTGGGCTAGGAGCAGCATTTGTGCTTTGAGGCTTCGGGATCCCCCTGCGCTGCCCTGTGCTGACTGTCTAATAAATGAGATCTTGTCAATGTGGCAATGTGTGATCTGAGGCTATTTTTGGAATAAATCAGTTCCAGTCAAAGACTTGGCGAAATTGCCCAGCTGTCTCTGTGGCTGTATTTTTAGAAGAATGGTTTTCTTACACCTTCTCTGATTCCCGGTCAGGCTAAAGGGTCCCTTTGGTACGGCTACCTCTCGATGTGGCCTGCTTGATGTTTTTGGGTGTGCGCCGAGGGCGCGGCTTTGGGCAAGACCCTGGCGGCTGCGGCTGGCCGTCCCTCCACTGAGGCTCAGAGCCTGCGGTTGACACGGATGGGTAGCGGTGGACATCAGAGCCAGTGTGGGAAGAAGGGGAGGTGACACAGCTCAAAGTGGAGAGGGAAATCTGCTGTGTCGCTGAGTTGTGGGAAGACCCGGCGTCCTCGGAGCTGCCTGCTGACTCTCAGGAACCGTGAACCCAGTAGTTCCCTGAAGTTCTAAGAAACACACGAAGGACATTAGTGGTGCAAGCGTCCCTCAGGGTCCGGGGCAGCTACAGCTGGGCCTTCCCAGTGGGGGTGAGTCCCTGGGGAGGGACAAATGATTTGACACCCACTGGTCTCTGTGGCCCGCGTGAAGTCCGTGTCCACACAGGAGTCCCTGGCCGCTCCCCACCCTGCAGGGAGCCTGGGCCGTGCCCTGCCCAAGGATGGGGAGCTGGTGAGGCCACAGACAGCCCGGTAGATGCTTGGGGACAGGAAATACTTCAGGTGTCCTGTGCCCCAGGGCCTCTGTCACAGCTACTCTGGTGGAATGGGAAGAGAAGGCAGAGACGAGGTGACATGAGCCAGGGCATCTGTGCTCCAGGGATCTTCAGTTCCTAAACCAGGGGCCCCTGGGTTTGGCTCTTGGGCTGTGCCCCCTGCAGTGGGAAGCCCTAGGTTCTCCTCTGGTTTTGCAGCTTGGCACAGGTGTGACCTTGATGGTGTCTGGGCCTGCGTCCCTGTTGGACAGATGGGGGCGACGGTGTGCTAGGGGCTCTAGAGGGAGCCCAGGTCTGTGGAAGGTCCCGGCTTTGGGCCTGACCAGGTGTGTGCTCGGCAGACGCTGAGTCTGGATCTGTACTGCAAGGAAAGCATATGTGTTTCTATTTCAGTCTGTTAGCAAAGCGTCCTTGACCTGCTTCTTGGGTCACGAGGTCTGAAAACACTCACTTTAATGAGAGTAACTGTATCGCCCTGCATCGTCGGGTGAATGGATTCTATGTACTGTGTTGCAGGGAGCTGAGTCCCTGGTGTCTGGACATCTGTGGGCTGCGTGCTCCTTTCTCCACCCCTAATTGTGTTAGAAGCCCCACCTGTGGCCGGGCTCTTGGTGGTGTCTGGGAGCCCTGGGCTCAGACACCTGGGAGCCCTGCACCAGGGCTGTTGACAGCTAAAGGCGTGGCACTGTGGTCCTCCCCGATCAGAGCCCTGGTACAGACGCTCACGGGCAGCGTGTTTAACAGATGGACTTGCGCCCACAGGAGGCGTGGACTCCCCCGCTCAGTTCCGCCCTGGGGGGATCGGATGTGGTGGTGTTTTCGGGCCAGGCTTGTAACGTTTGATTTGAAACCTCTTCCAGTCAGCTGTTGGCCACGAGTATCAGTCAAAACTCTCCAAGCACTGCTCGCAAGTCGACTCAGTCCGGGGTTTTGGAGGCAAGTTTGGTGTTCAGGTGGACAGAGTTGATCAGGTGAGTGCCGGGCGCTGGGTGCCGGGTCGGGCCGGGTGGTACGCCGTCCAGAGCAGAGCGTGTCTGCAGAGAAGACACTGCTGGCCGGTGACTGCTGGGTGGGGGTGGGCGGGGCTGCACACAAGCACTCAGGGCCCCTCCCACTCCTGAGCCGCTCAGATTATCTATAGGCTGAAGAAGCAAGAAAGCCCTGGTGGCTCAGTAGTTGAGCGCTCGGCTGCTAACCAAGAGGTCGGCGGTTTGAACCTGCCAGCCACCGTTGGGACAAAGATGTGGCAGTCTGCTCCCCGTAAAGATGACAGCGTCGGTAACCCTATGGGGCAGCTCTGCTCTGTATCTGTAGGGTCACTGAGTTGGGCTGAAGAAGCGCCGCTGCCGTTCTTGTTACCAGCGTTAGCGTCGTTCTTGGGGAAGCTTATGTGAGAAGCGAGTGGCTGTGGGAGCGGTGGGGAATTGTTACATGTTAGAGCTGTGTGGCTACAGTAAACCCGCTGAGCTCGCTCTGCGGCCGCAGCACGCTGGAGGGACAGGACGGGGGAAGACAGGCTGGCCACAGATGCCACGTGGCCTGTGCAGCGCACCTGGCTACGTCTGACAGTTTATGGCGTGTGAATTCAGAACATCACATCTCGTGACATTGATTTGACCTGCATTAGGCTTAGAAGATCAGTCGTCAAAAATAACATGGTTTGTGTTTTTGAAGATTTCACACATACTGTGAGATCAGAGTACTTGCTCTGGAAGCGTTTAAGAACGCATTGTTCTCTTTTTGTTTTTTTACATCCCAGTCTGCTGTAGGCTTTGAATACCAGGGAAGAACAGAGAAGCACGCCTCCCAGAAAGGTGAGATGTAGAAGACAGACAGACAGCCCAGAGTCAGCCTGGCTTTGATGCTGCCACTGGATGCTGCGTGTGCTCTGAGCGGGAGGGGCCGTCCCCCAGGGAGAACTCTGCCTCCTGCACCGAGTTTTCTGGGTTATCTGACGTTGTAGGATGCGCGTTTCCCGATAAGCAGCACGCGGGGTACCCTGGCCGACTCTGTGCTGGCATCTGACGTGATCGGTGCCTCCCGTCTCCCCTTCAGTTAAACAGCCCGCCAGAAGTCACCTCTCTGACTGCTGGCCGAACGCTGACGCTCCCCCTCGAGATAGGAGCCAGAGTGGTTCAATTGTTTCCGTGGCGCGCGTGCGGGCGTCAGCAGCGCGTCGCGTCTTCTGTTGTTGGTGACTGTTCCCTATTTAGTCCTGGTCTGTAAAGCCTTTTTAAAAAACAAAAGCGTGTCACCTCCCCAAAGCGCTCTGTGTTATTTGCAAGCCTGTTTAATTCCCTCCCTTGTGTGTCGTCAGATAATCTGGGCCCTGAGCGCTCAGTGCGTGAGCACTTCAGGTTTCAGCTGAGCTTGGCGTTTCCACGTTGGAAGAGTAAGGCCTTTTCTGTAGTGTTTTCACCGTATAGCTTTCCTTGTACTCTGACCTAGATCTGAACAGTTAATTTTTAAAGGGGGGATGCGGCTTCATTTCTGCCAAAATGAAAGAACTGCCCTCTAACAGTTGAATGAGATCAGAGTCCGCTAGGCACATGTTATGGGCGAAAGACCTGGCGATCTGCTTCTGTAGAGGTTGCCGCCTAGGAGACCCGATGGGGCAGTTCTCCTCTGTCACATAGGGTCATTGAGTCGGAATCAGCTTGCCAGCAGACAACAACAGACACGCGTTGTCGCATGTGTCCCGTGTCACTCTTAGGTTACACTGGGTCTTGAGCTCCTTGTGAGTTGTAACCCCCAGACGTTTTGCTTTGCTTTGCTTAAAAATAGCCACACACTAGCTTATCGTCAGGCTTACACACCGACTACTCCCTTGCCTCCTAGACTACTCGAGTGGCTTCGGCGGCAAGTACGGCGTGCAGGCGGACCGCGTGGACAAGAGCGCCGTGGGCTTCGACTACCAGGGCAAGACGGAGAAACACGAGTCTCAGAGAGGTGCGTTGTCCCCGACGGCGTCTTCTCAGCCCACAGCAGGATGGGAGACTCTTAACTAAGGTCCTTTTCCCTTTTCTCCTTCCCTTTCCTCCCCCGAGAGAGGAGCGTGGGGTGTGCCTTTCCTGTCTTTTCTCTGGCGTTTACGAACAGAAACGCTCATCAGGGAGTCCCCCCCATACAAAGTGGGTTCCATCATATGTACTGTTCCCTGATTCTTTTTTGTAAACGGAAAATGTTCTGCTGGGCTTTTTGCATAGGTCGATTGGCCTTTGTTTTGGTAGCTGCTGAGTGCTCCACTGTATGAAATACCGTAGCTTACTTGACCGTTCCTCTTTTGAACGCAGACACTTAGGTTACTTGTAATTTTTTATGTTAAAAATCAGCTGCAGTGAATGTTCTTGTATCTTAAACACATGAATGATTACGCAAAAGAATAAATTCCTAGAAATGGAATTGCTGGGTCAAGGGATATCGATGACCAAACAACCAGTTGCCATCAGGTTGACTCTGGCTCACGGCAGACCCCCTGTGTGACAGAGCAGAACTGTGCTCCACAGGCCTTTAATGGCTGATTTTTTGGAATTACAGGTCGTCCCTGACTTACTACGTATTCAAGTTATGCCGAACCGCACGTAACAGCCATCTTTTTTTTTCCCCTACATCTTACTTTCAGTATTAGGTACTACGTACAGTGTTGCAATTCATAATTTGCTGATGTTATCATTCTCAGATGTTCACTTTAGATGTTCAGAGATCAGGTTTATAAAGATATACTGATAATAAAAGGCAATAATAATAAAAACTAGAAAAAGGTATTCGACTTAGGACCAATTTTCAGTGGACCAGAACCCCATCGTAAGTCGGGGACTACCTGTAGATCACCAGGCCACCTTCTGAGGCACCTCTCCATGGACTCCCCGCCGTTTGGTTAGCAGAGGAGTGTGTTAGCCACCTGTACCACTCAGGGACTCGCGAGATTTGGACAGATACTGCCAAATTGTCCTTAGAAGCACTGTTTTCCCTTCACCATTGCATACCCTGTAATTAATCCACCAGGGAAGTCCCTTTCCCAGGGAGGTCATCTTAGCGATGAGTGCACCATTGCCAAGGGCACGAACGCTTGGTTCCTTTGTGTCGTTTGTCCTGTTTGGCATACGCCTTTAAATTTTACAAAGAATTGCCAACACCTAAAAACAGCTCTCTCATAGAAAAAAATCCAGATTTCTTAAAAATCAAGTGAACCATCAAAGTTCTGGCCACCCCGGCCCGCCTTTCCCCATGGAAATGATGGTGGGACTGGGTGGCACCACTGCCTTCTCGGGGTGTCCACACTTCTGGTCCTGCCCTGCCTGCCGGCCTCCCTGGGGCCGCCATCTTGGAATTGGAGTTTGCAGCCTGGGCCTGCTTCACCGGCTTGCTTTACGTTCTGGCTTCTCTCTCTACCTCGAGCAGAACATTACTCTGTGCAGTGTAGTGCTGTTAATCAGGACTGACTGGTAAATCCTGTCCAGTGCTTCTCAAACTCTGTCCACGTGGCCCGGGGCAAACATCAGGTCTCCTGGAGCCTCAGGCTTTGCTTGAGTGTTGGTTTCTACATTCTCTTCTGTTAATATATCCCAGATTGATACACCCGCTGGCAAAAAAGTAATGTTTAAGATGAGTTAGCTCTGAGTAGAACTGATGTTTCTAGAAGCTGCTCCATATCAACCCTGTTTCTTTGACAGTCCTCCGCAGCACACCTCTGCTTTCTCCAGTTGGTGGAGCAGGGGGACCTGGCCAGAGCCTGCTGCTGGGGCTTACCCTGATCTTACAGCCTCATCGTAAAGAGATGGTTTTTCATGCTGTGTTTTGGAAAGAAGAAAAGAAGCTATCGCTGTAGTTACTGCCGTTGGTCTTTATCCTGTCCCATGTTAAGTAGCGCCTTTAGCTATTTCCCGTATTACTCAGAGACCCTACAGTGAGCCCAGGGGAGTTCTGGTGTGTTTAATTCATTTAGCTGAGGGATGAGAGTACTTGCTTCAAGACTTCTAAGATCCGCAGCCCGTCCGTTGGTTTTGTTGCTGGTGTGTAAACAGTGTTTTTCATGTTTGTAGATTATTCCAAAGGCTTTGGTGGCAAATACGGGATCGACAAGGACAAAGTGGACAAAAGTGCCGTCGGCTTCGAGTACCAAGGCAAAACTGAGAAGCACGAGTCGCAGAGAGGTACCTTCTCTTTCGTCCTCTTCTCTATCCAGCAGCTATTTGTGTGACTTTGGGGGTGCCCCGAACAGACAAGGGCAAATGACCTTACCAACAGAGCCTTAGAGTAGATGCCTGTCTTTCACGAGATAGTCTGCTTTAAAACAACCAATCAAAAAAACACACGGCTGCAAAATTAAAAAGTCAAATGTTGACACTTTCGGGGGGCTGTAAGACTCCGCCAGCCTTGCCTGTCATACCGGCCCTGCGTTGCAAGTTTGTGTCTGTGCCGATGGGCCCTGTGAGCACTGTTGGAAGCTGCATGTGTCTGCGCTTCTGACGTGGGCTCCAGTCTCTGTCCGTCTGACCTCTGAGCGATTGTAGGTGGCCTTCGGGTAATCCCAAGGAGGCCCTCTTAATGGACGTTACCAGAGGTCTCACCAAGGTCTGGAGAGAAAAGGGTGCATCTAGCAGATTGTGTCTGTTTGACTGCATTGCAGACATACTTTCTGCCCATCACACCGGCTGCCCGTTAATACTAGTTTGTGGTCTTTCGTTGCATGTATAGACTATGTGAAAGGGTTTGGAGGAAAATTTGGTGTGCAGACAGACAGACAAGATAGATGTGCCCTTGGCTGGGATCACCAGGAGAAGTTGCAGCTGCACGAGTCCCAAAAAGGTACCCTCACTGACTGCGCGCCGGGGCTTGCGCCCCCGTTTTCCTCTCCTCTCGTTCGTGGGTCAGTTAATGTGTTCCTGCCCTACTTCTGTATTACTCCCTCATCTCTGTTGGAAGTGTCCTGTGCCTCCCACCATTTGGAACAAACTCTCTAGCTAGTGTAGTGACTAGCCTGTCCCCGTCTTGCCCGGGAGCTGCAGATCCGTAGGGAACCGTGTTTGCACGTGGACGCACGTTTAGGAAGCACCCGTCCTTGCCAGTGGCACTCCCGGGAAAGCTGTTTTCTGCTCTCAGGTTACAGCAGAGAGCGCAGCACTGTTCCCAGCCCGGGAATTCTTGTTTTCAGAGTGCCCTGCTGAAGGACGTACTTCCTTTCTAACCGGCAGTGTTTTTTTTTAATCCAACGGGAACCCCATCCCTGGACAGAGTAGACTGAGGGGAGGGAAAGCCTGACTTGAATGTGAAACAGACTCAGGTGGAGGAGCAGGCAGAGGAGCAGGCAGTGGGGAGAATCCTCGTTGCTGTGTTTGTAACGTGTCTCCTTCTTCACGCACACAGACACGCGCGCTCTCGTCTGCAGCGTGGGTAGGACCCTCGATGTCAACCTCAGAGCATGGAGTGGCTTTCCCAGATTAGTTACAGTAGAATCGTTAGCCTGTTTTTAAGTCTTGCCTGCAGTGTTGAGGTCTGGAGTGTTCTTTAACCTCTTGAGGCATCCTGTGACTGTTGAAGAGACTGGCGTGGGACAGTGAGTCCCTGAGCTCGGCAGCTTTTGCTTCCTCTCAGCGACGTGTGTGGTGATGGCGTGTGCTCACCCAACTCTAACCCCACTTGTGTTTCCTCTCTCGGTTGTTTTCTCCACCGGCGCCTGCGGATTTCCAGATTATAAGACTGGTTTCGGAGGCAAATTTGGTGTTCAGTCCGAGAGACAGGACTCCTCTGCTGTGGGGTTTGATTACAAGGAGAAACTGGCCAAGCACGAGTCCCAGCAAGGCACAGTCGCACCCAGCCTCCCCCGACCCCCTCAGGGCAGCAACTGTAGCGCAGACATCAGGTCTGAGCGTCGCTGCCTGCAGCACAGTCTTCACGAGGCACCCAGCAGTCGGGCCCTGGGGGCGGGTGGGGACTTTTCAACGCAGCTGTGTGCTGGAGCCGTGTTAACTTGGAGCCGTACCCTGCTTTCTGCTCCCCCAACTCATGTTTTTTAAAATACCTTTTGGGGTTTGTGTTTCATGTGGTGTGGTGGGGCTGCAGGTCGCGGCCCTCTACACCGAGCCATGTCTGGGGCTGGGATGGTGTGTCTGCGGTCTCCCCGCAGCCCCGTGTGTGGGCCGCCTTCCTGTTCCCACCGCCACTTGAGTAAGCAGCCTCACGGCCCTCAACTTGCGGAGAAAGGCGTGCGGTTAAAGCAAACCAGCGACCTCAGGCCAGAGGCTGGGGAACACCTGTGGTTTTCGTGTGGCATTTGTGCTGGTCTGTTAATGGCCGGGGACGGAGCGGTTTTTGTTTTGTTTGGTTTTGATGACATCATCTTCACCCAAAGCCAAAACAGTACATCCACAGAACTGAAAAAGAGACGTTTCTCTGTGTACATACTGGTGCTTGAACAGCAAACTAGTTTTTTCTTAGACGGTTATTTCATTACCTTCAGTACCAGGCTTCATTATTAGAATCTGGACACACGATTGGGAAGATGGTCATCTCCTGGCTCCACAGAGCAGAGTTAAGGCTTTGTGTCCCTGAGTGCTAAGAGATTAGGAGCCCTGGTGGTACAGTGGTTAAGCACTCAGCTGCTAACCAGAAGGTGGGCAGTTGGAACCCATCAGCAGCTCCGCGGGAGACGAGACCTGGCGATCTGCTCCCGTAAAGATTACAGCCAAGAAAACCCTCTGGGGCAGTTGTCCTCTGTCGTGGGGGTGGCTGTTAGTCAGAATCGCCTCGGCCCCCAGCAGTGGCAAGTGCTAGTAGGCATGCCTGACGGTGCTGAGGGCGGACAGGTGAATGCACCCCAGGGTGCTCCGGCACACCGCATGGAGTGACCGCTGGGCTGACGTGGCTGTGATCCTGCACGACCGTGACTCTCCGTGGCTCTGTGTTGCTGCAGCATACGTGTCTGGCTGCTAGCATTTACACGTGGCATTTTTTTTCTTTCAAAAAGTAAGAGAAAAAGCTGCCTGGGGACTCCGTTCAGTGCTTGGTAGAGCAGAGCACGCGGAGTGGCGGCGCCAGGCGACCGCTGGGTGTGGAAGACTGTGCTGCTGGGCGCTGCGCCACACAGGCCTGTTCTGTGGCCCCCGCCCGCCCGCGCCTTCCTTGCCTTCCCTGGGGAAGGCGGAAAGCATGCGCGCCTGTCTCTGCTCCCCCGCCTGTGTTCCCGACACTGAGGTTAGATACCCAGCCTGCTTCACGAGGACGGCCCCACGAGGAGCCCTCTGCCCGCCCTTCTCTTCTGGTGCTGGCGCGTTTTCCCGGGCTCTGCCTGCGTCTGTCGCATGCCTCTGCTGTCAGTGCTGAGCGCGGCCTTGGCCTAAAACCAGTGTTGTGTGCCCCCTTCCAGATTACTCCAAAGGATTTGGTGGAAAATATGGAGTGCAGAGGGACCGGATGGACAAGGTAAGGGTTTCACACCTGGCACTGTGTTTCCTGCTGCTGATCAGTAACCGTTGCCACTGCGTTGATTCCGACTCATGGTGACCTGTGCATGTCAGAGTAGAACTGTGTTCCATTGGTTTTTCAGTGGCTGATTTTTCAGAGGTAGATCACCAGGCCTTTCTTCCGAGGTGCCTCTGAGTGGACTTGAACCCCCGGCCGTTTGGTTAGCAGCGAGCACGTTAACTGTTTGCATCACCCAGGGGCTCCCTTTCCTGCTCGTAGGTTTGGTAATCTGGAGAGCCCTTGGGATAGACGTCAGTGTGGTCCCGTGGGCGTTCTCATGTGGCCTGTTTGTGCACGTTTCAAGTGAAGCGTCTGTCAGCCCCCTGGTGATGGTGACAGCTAACGCCTGAGCCAGGCTTCCCAGGTGTCAGGCCCTGCCCCGCCCTTACCCACGCCTTTTCCTCGTAGCAGTGTCCATCCCCGTCTGTCCCCATCAACAGCCGAGGCGCCTGAGGCCCAGACAGGGTCATTGCTCCGCCCACCACACCACATCCCACGGCCGGAGCCCAGCGTGGAGGTTAGAGCCAGGACGACAGCTTCTGGGATATGCAGCCGTGTGAATTTAAATTAATTAAGATGAAATGGTAAATTCAGCTCCTTGGTGGCACTAGGCACCTTTGAAGAGCCCAATGGCCACATGTGCCCGGTGGCTGCAGTGCTGGCCGGCACACATAGTGGAGCGTTTCTACCGTTGCTGAAATGCTTCCGGCTGGTGCTGGTCCACGGTCTGCGGGCCTCCCCCGTGCTGCCTCGAGGATGTTCTGGGGGAACAGCGCCGTTCTCCAGGGATTGCTTCATGTGACGTCTGCCCTGGGGTGGCGTCAGAGCCCGTGTTCCCACCCCAAGCTTGTTAGATGGTGGTTTTTCTAGCCTGTAGTCCAGTGAGGTAGGTCTGAGACTCACGTGTGGGCGTCTGGAGGTATCCAGGCAGACGGGCTGGGTGGCGGCTTCTGTCTCCGTGCAGTTCAGTCAGCCGTGTGAGGACACCAGGCCCAGCTGTGCTTGCCCACAGGGAGAGCCTCACAGTCTGTTGTCATTGGGCCCAGGAGAGTCCAGCGTGGGCCAGGGCTCCCAAGGCAGCATCCCAGGGGTGGAGGTTCAGGCCGAGGGTTGGGAAAGGCCCCCTGCCAAGTGAGGGTCTCAGGTCAGATTTGAAGGGTGAGCAGAGTTCATCTGGAACGATGGGGTCAGGAGACTGCAGAGCCGAGGAAACTGTGTGTGGTCGGGCGTGGGGGCCAGAGTCGCTCCCAACATGGAGAGAATCCTGTCGTGGCCGCGCTGCAGAGGGGTGAGGTGTGAGGGGCGCGAGGCTGCTGTCGGCCTATCTTGGAGAGCCCCACAGACCCTGTAAGATGCACGTTGTTAGGGGCGTTAGCAGCAGTCACGTGAGGGTTGAGCAGGAAGCGCCTCAGACAGATTCGCATCAGGAACCCCCTGCCCTCCGCTCACAGTGCGTGGTCCCTGAGGGGTGGGCCCGGGCACTTGGCCTCGGACAGGAGGTGGGAGGGCCTGGGGCAGGCGGAGAGGTATGGCTCCAAGTCAGGCCCGAGTCAGACTGCTTTGGTGGTCACAGGTCGGTTCAGCTGACATCCCGTGGCCCCTGCAAAACAAGGTGTCACCTCGGTGGTTAGAAACGCTGATGGTGGAGCCAGGTAGGGCCAAGTCCAGCACAACAGAAGGCTCCTAGGCTTCCTTGAAACACCGCGAGGCAGGGCTGGGGAGGGCCCCAGGAAGAGCAGACAGTCGATGCCTGATTGGGCAGATGCAGCTCTGCGTTTTTGTCCCCACACTGGCTCCTGTGATCGCCAGCCAGTTTGTAACAGCGTTCCCTTCTGCCTTGGTGACTGTGCAGAGTGGACAGGTGGGCAGGGGGTTGGGTCTGTGTAAGACCTGGGGAGGAGCTCTGGTGGTGCAGTGGTTAAGAGCTCGGCTGCTAACCGAAAGGTCGGCAGTTCAAATCCACCAGCCACTTCTTGGAAACTCTATGGGGCAGTTCTACTCTGTCCTATAGGGTCACCCTGAGTCGGAATCCAGTCGGCAAAGACCTGGGGAAGGCTGCCAACATGTTGATCAGGGAGAACCATCCCAGGGCGGGAAGGAAAAGGTGGTGTCCTGATGGTTCTCTTCCTGTCTTGGTAGACGGCGTCACCCTTTGAAGATGTGACGAAGGTGTCCTCCGCTTATCAGAAGACAGTCCCTGTTGAAGCTGGTAAGTCCCAGCAGACCCCAGAAATCACTGGGTGGTTTTTCCAGGAAAAGGCTGATGGAAAAGGAGAG